GTCGTAAGCAACGAAAACACGAAACCGGCTACAGCCAATGAACAGCTGAGTTTTATTTTGAAAAATTTGTCCAGTAGCAGGATGCGAGCATCCCGCATAGTCACAGCAAAAAATATCGACAAAACACCGTAAACTTTCGTAAATTTATCAACATTTAAAGCTGTACTTTGACAAAAAAAGTTACAGACAGGTTAGTAAAATTATCCTTGTTTATATTTATGTTGTTTTTAGGGCTAGTTTCTTTCTGCTTTTTAAAATACGACGGATATATTTTTGTGTGTAGTTCAATCAGTTGAAATCCCTTGCCAACCTTAGGTATACTTTATATTACGTCAGTCCGCCGATAATGCAATCGAGTGGCGATTTAATATAAGCTACATTTCGCAATATATTTCGCTAACTTGTGATTATTTTCGTTAAATTTTATAATTTCACTGCAGTTTTAATTTAAATTCAGTCGTTTAGTGGGCTGCCTATGAGCCAGTGCGCTTATGTGAGGCATTCCTGATAATATTCAAAATGGCAGACATCCAGGGGGGAATGCCCTTATAAGCCCACTGGCTAGGACCATCAGCATCAGCACTTTGATGACGAATCATGGCATGGCAGCGGTTACACTGAGTCAACATTCTGTGTGTCTTTATTCTGTGCTGTCACTGTCTGTTTGCCCTCGTCATTCGAAACTTAATTAAATCAAACAGTCAATTAGCCAGGTCTTTTTCAACTTTAATGTTTGTAAGGAGCACTTGACATCATTCATTATGATCAGCCAATCACTTTCATGTAACATTGAACAGCTTGTTAGTTGTTACAAATGTGTGTTTCCAAATCTATGAATATAGATACAGTATATATAGTCTGTATAGAACAGACAATATTTTTATCTCTGAATGTTCAATATTAAAGACAAACAATATTGCATCCTTAACTGCACCTAAATGCATGATACACCTACATGGATTTAAAATATAATTAAACCAACATTTTTTTAATTAAACATACATAAAGTCTGATGATCATAGGAAGCTTTTACGGGAAATTTACTATACGCAGGAATGTTCAATATGTTCACAAACAGACTACAGATATACATAAATTTTAGGGTCTAAAGCACTTTAATATCCTAGAATTATAAATACTGGTTAATATATATTACATACTCCAGTTCCAAATTTAAATACAATATACAACCCGATATTACTCACCAGAAGGGCGGCCTGTAAGTCACATAATGATAAATATGCCCTGCCAATGTTAAATTTTATTTTGGCGGACGAATCTTTCATCTCTTTAAATTTATCCAGGGAACTTTGAAAGTCGCCTTCGTTATAGCGCTCTACAGCCTGTTTCCATATCTGTAAATTCTCTACCAATGTCATGATTCGATCGTTCAAGGTTAAATCTTGAAATCAAAAGTTAATTAAATAGCTGTAGCCACGGTAGCAATCGCCAATCGACGTCATACACAATACACAGGACGAAATTCAAGGATTTTGTAAGCACTCTCGAAGCCCGATTCACAAGTTTGTTGTAACAGTGGCCGGCAGCATAAAACAAGGACGAATTATACACGTAGATCTTTAATCCGAGACCATATAATACACCCACATTCGATGTCAAAATGTATATATATTATTTCAAAACATTGCACTTCACAAAATTATGTCAAACACAATCGAATTATTAAATACCGGACATGATACCTCAGAGAAACAGGAACTAGTATACCGGAACTTTGCCTACACAAGGCAGGAATAGCCGCCGGGTGCGGCACAAGTAACGTGTTACATGTATCTATATATATATCACGTCTACCCGGCTCTGGCTGCGTGCATTTAACAATTTAATGCATGATTCATCTGCATGCCAAAATAATCCACACTTTGTTACAAAGAAAGCGTTCTTTACAAAGGTGACTATCCTTGTCTTCATACTAAAATTATACCATGCATGGGTATTTAAACAAGCGTCCATAAATGGCCATAAATACATTCAACTATCAAAATGAAAATTTCCTCTTTCGAACCAAGTTTGTCCGAGGAAAGTATATACACTCAAGTCAATTATTATAGTGATTTTAAGTACCTTAACTTCTGTAAACTACTTGGCTTTGTTTTCTCAACACAATTTGTTTCAATCACAATAGACACAATACCTTCTCGTGAAAATTACAAAAAGTCTATATACAGGGTGTATCAACAAAAAACGCAACCTCGGAATTTCCCAAGAAATCGACATTGTTTTAGAGACAAAAGATTTTAAGCGCCTGGGAATTTAAAATAGCACAACTGTCAAAATTACTGCACACGCGAGTGCATAAAGCAAAATTTATGCATTTATTTAATGCACAACAACAGTAATATGATCTATTAGCAATTCGATTTCAATTCTCAGGGGCCTAAAATCTTTTATGCTTAAGAATTGCAAAGTGATTTCTTAGGAAATTCCGAGGTTGCGTTTTTTTTTATACACCCTGTATATCGAAGCTATATATAGGAACAATTTTTCATTTTATTACATATTCTCGACTTCATAATATTGAATACCGATCAAATAGCCATTCAGTATTTTACTGACAAGGTAAAATTTTGATTTTATGACTTATGTTTTATTTACATAACACAAACTGAACAGTAGGCTACGAACCGGCTGTCGTTGAAACTTCATTCATGGATTAAATTCATGCATGGATTATTAAAGGTCTATACGACATGTTCTATGCCCTTTTTTGGGAATCATTCCACTTTATAGACCCACGGATTTACTTTCAAACAATCACTACCATACTTATTTTTAACCACTATTATTACATGCATTCAATTCAGATTCACTATCTATGTTACTGTTGCTAGTGTCGTTGGCACCGAGACATAATTTGGTCGCCACCGTCCGCCCGCACAGGAACCTACACAGCAAGACACGAGCTACCTGCTGTGCGAGTTTCTGTGCGACCCCGATTCAGGAGCTAAGAGTAGTCTATGGTACGTAAACGGTTTTGGTACTTTTGCTAGAGTTGTGAACGTTAATGGGAGTTGTATCAAAACCAAAAAGGAAATGTATCATTTTGATTTCTGTCTGGTCAATAAATTGTTTTGCCGCGGTTTTTAGTTGCAATTGTAAAATGTCAATTCAATCAAGGTGGCCTCCTTGGCCGACTGTTCCGACCTGTAGGTTTGGGAAAGGTAACAAGTCGTGTAAAAAGTCGATTCCAGGTTTTCCGGGTATATTGGCCTAGGCTTGTCATCGCCAGCTTTTGGACAAGGGAGATTTGTTCGTGCATAAGGCCGCCAAAGAAAACTTGACATGGTTTTGGCGGCCTTGAGTCCCTTGACTCTGCCAAATTCCTGTTCACGCTTTCACAACCCTGACTAGAGGTGAATAAAGACGACTTTATTATGACCTTATATTGCAATTCTGTCTGTTACACTGATATAACACATGAACACGGAAAATGAAATGGTAGACACATTCACAAGATGGTCGATCCGTCTACAGACAAGTTCGTCTACTGAACAGGAATTAAACCAACCTCGTTCCCAGGCTCTTTCCCCTAAACCAGCTTTGCAGCCTAGTCCCTAGGCCTCTTAGTACGCCTATTTCGCGTTTCTGCAGCTTTGTAATTACGCACATGTGATAACCTCTGTTTGATAACACTCTATGGAAATTGAGGTTAAACAGTAAACAACCTACACAATAAATTAAACGTATACGAGAGTCAGGTAAATGCATGTGACTCATGTCGCTTTACATGTCATTTTACATGCTCGTTTAACCACTTCAGTTCAGCCACGTATCGGAAATTGCGAAATTCCAAAAACCACTTCATGATATTTCCGTATAAAGATTTATATAATTACTCGACAAGTGGCGCTTGAATGTTGATTGCTGCCGAGTTATGCAGCACGCTATGATTACAGCCAGGTTTTAACAGATTTTAGAAGTTATAAACAGTAGCCCAACAGTGCATGTTCTGGGAATTTAATCCATTATAATCCATTATAATTTAATCCATTTAATCCATTATATATATATATATTTATAATTAAAATTAATTTTAAGTAGAAAAGACAACAATTATATATATATATATATATATATATATATATATATATATATATATATATATATATATATATATATATATATATATATATATATATATATATATATGTATATATATATATATGTATGTATGTATGTATGTATGTATGTACTATGACTTTTCGCTTATGATTTTTCTTTAGTTTTCCTCATGAATTATTCAATGAGTTTTTGCAATATGTACCGATTGTGTAATATAACTCAATGTCAACACGGAAACGTCGGAACATTTCTTCCTTTATATTTCTTTGTGCTATATTATAAAACAAATAGTAAAACTTTTTTCCATATTGGTATACTCAGTTATATCAACACTCGTGGAAATTGGAAAACTCAAAATTGTGTAAAAATGGTAAAAACACACTTCTCGTTTTCCCAATTTCCACTCGTGTTGATGGCTGTATATCAACACGGAAAAGTGCCGTTTTATATTTGTTTGCTCGGCCTCAAAAGCGTGGTCACAAGTAATTTGAACAGTTTGAAAATGTATTTGGAATAGGTTTAACTTAATGTTTAAGTTCCCTGTTTAAGAAGTAGAAAACATACGAGTCTTCTCATTTCATGGGAATATCCTGAGTCTGCAATCACGGCTTCAATTTTTGAATTGTAGAATAATTAGATGCACTATCTAGTGTATATAAAATATCTATGCTTTCACCTCCGAGACTGTGGGTTGGCATTTCCAGAGTCATGGGATAGAAACACTCTCCTCCGCAAAGTCAATTATATAGGATTGTAGGGATAATGTAGGGATAGTGGAGGACATTTAGTGGTGCGCGACGGGGGGGGGAGACCGATGGGCGTTTTGACTAACAATTACGTAACTTGTTTCCCAAGTAATATTACGTAATTTTACTAAAAATTCGGCGTAAGGCTCTGCGGAGGGGAGTGGGATAGAAACGTCTGATCCTTATCGGATTAATGACACTTTTGTGAAGAGTCAGTCAACGCTCTACCGAAAGTCGTGGGTTTTCTCCGCGTACTCTGGTTTCCTTCCACAGGGAATGTTGACAGGGTGGGTTGGGATTAGCACCCTTAGCAACTCACCGTAGCTGTGCTCCGTGATCAGTCATGAGGTGACTGCCAGAGGCGCATTTAAGGTTAGTTTCCACTCAGGAAAATTATCCGTGGATTGGAACGGACAAGAAAGTTTTTCTTTGTCTTGTGAGCTCTGGGTTGGAACTAATGACTTTAACACAAAAAAAAAATTCTTGTCCGTTCCAATCCACGGATAATTTTCCTGAGTGGAAACTAGCCTTTAGTAAGCCTTCGACTGCATCAGGTTGAGCTGCGTCCTTCGCATAATGCATGTATATAATGCCAGCTAACCCGCCAAACGTACAGACGAAGCGAAAGATCGATTAAGACAATAGTGGTATATCTCGAAACTGGACTTTTTTTTTAATTTTAATTTATAAACTTTGCCGATTTGCCAATTACTGCGGGCCCGAAAGTCGATATGATGATGATCGATATAATATGGTCCTTGATATATTATTTTCCTTTTTGGATATAGAATGGAAGGGGAAGGTGAGTGCATGTACATTTCCCGAAGGCTTTGGGGTCAAAATACGAAAAAGAAGATGGAATGTAAGTCATGTCTGAAGATATTCTCCCTAAACCGATTATTCCCACGAGAGCAACCAAATCTTCCAGTGCCAGTGAGTTATCTTTCCGGCCGCAAGAATGCAGGACTAGGACTTTCCAGCGATCGTATATCACCCCAACCTCGTCCCACGTACCCACGATCTTTGCTCTTGGCGAGGGGAGAAAAGATCCTGGTAGACGCTGGTCACGTGATCTGCTAAAATCTAGCAGATTTTTAATTAGCAATTTAAGATAAGGTCAATAAATATTTGATATTGGGATAATTCTTATAGTTTAATTTATAATTTGCTTTTTGTATGATTGTCGTAAAGGAATCCAAGATAGTTAATTAGAAATCTACTAGATTTTAGCAGATCACGTGATTCTCCACAAGAGGAAAGAACCTGGTTACGAGGTTGATATCACCCGCGTCACCAATCTCGTTCCCCGAGCCTGCGATCCTCGGGAAGGAATGCGAGGCTCTGGGATAATCCGTTGCCGGAAGCCAGGAATCCTGGCTAAGATTGAACTGCGCATTCCATTTCAACGGCCAATCAGATTCCTCCCTGAAACGGATTATCCTAGCCTGCATGGCAGGCGGTATTTCTACGGGCAGCGAAAATTAGGGAAGCAAAGGAAATACCGTCTGCCGCAAAACTAGGGGTTTTTGAATTACCCGTCCGCTGGTGAACGGGAAAAACGGATTGGTTAGTATTTTTATGTAGTTGTCAATCAACGGCTAAATTCGGTTAAATGTTAATCATTAACCAAATATTTTGACGTTTTGAAACTCTGCGTTTTGAAATTAGTTCACGTCAAGTCAGACCAGAAATGGAATAACATAATAAAAGAAGCAAATTAAAAGATACAAGCTGAAAAATAACACTCTAAATAGTGTTATTGATAGAGATTCGAACAAGAATATTTAACAAAGAAGATACGTCCGAAGGGGCCGAAGTTATGATCGGCGAAAGGTATGGGCTAGTCTATATTTTCGTTCAGACAATTACATGCGTATTTAATAATTTGATAATATACTATCTCGCTTGACTTTCAAAGGCCATAAATCGCAATAATGTTGACATTTTACTAAAACTATCGATAGAAATTAGGAGATATTTCTTCACTGAATCGAACAGTGGGATTTCCATACAGGCCTATCAGTCATGTTCTGAACCAAAGATACTTGATAGATATTAATATATACGAACCTCCAAAGTATAAACAAGGGGCCGGTTGATGCAGTCATTATCAAATAACAGTTAAACTCTTATATACCCGTTGAATATGTATAGTTGTAAACAAATAAATCTATCGTTCTATAAGGTTCAATACTTTCAGTTGGTTGTTGACTGATGATGAATCTATAGTATAGACTTGCATGCTTTGTATTTTGAGCTTATTAAACCACCGTTTTAAGGCAGCTAAACGGCTAAACGGGCTTGGTTTATATTAACACAAAATAAATTCCTTGATTCTCATCACTAGACACAGTCTACACTTTGAAATGTCGAAGACAGTGGGAGATTTATTTTTTATATTTATATAATTTATATATCAATAGTTCGTATCTCCACGAAAAATGACAGAATGACTGAGTTTCTTTAAAATACAATGAAATTTCACTCAAAATTCTGTTTGTTTCAAATTGGAAGTTTAAAATGGCAATAAAAACTCTATATAAAATATGAAAAAATTAACTGTCTTGAATTATTTTGTCGGGCGGTACATTTATATTGTATAACGAAAAATAAAACGTTTTCACAAGGATTTTAAAATTCAGTCGGGCGGTGATGAGAATCAAGGAATTTATTTTATGTTGGGCAGTTGGGACTTGGGAGCAGCTTGGGAGTGGCTAATTTTGAATATTTACTTAATTAATGCATCTATAAATAGCGTTGATGCTTCAGGGGCGGTAGTTCATTTACACCCAGTTTTGCGGCAGGCGGTATTTCCTACGTACCGCCTGCCATGCAGGCTAGTGATAGGGCCAAAACATTGGCCAGGGCCTCTGATATGTTACAATGTCGTTTTATGACCATCAGAATTCTGTAAAATCTCTCCCCAAAGTCCAGGAAATGGCATTTCAGGGAGTCTAGATTCAAAAATATTCCGGATGACCATGCCCTGGACCCCCTAGAAAACTCGTGCATATACGGCGCTCGACTCGTGCCTTTGGCACTTCTACTAGGGGGGCCTTCGAAAACTTTGAACCGGGGGCCCCTTGATATAACGTTACGCCACTGGCAAGTGAAATATGATCCAGCTTCTCGCTTGAAATGTAACGCAACACTTATTATTGATGACATTCAGTATAGCAGGAAGTCTTGTCATTATCAGTACGAATCTAGAACGTTCCTTTCACAATCTCTTGTTGCAAATTACATTTTTATCACCCGAAATTATAACACATAAAGTTGCAATTTTCAAAACGCAACAAACACGCTCCTCTACCTCCCGACCCATAGTCATATTATACGTTTACCCCCAGCCCCGACCAGGGTCTTTGCTTCCCAAGAGCAAAGAGCCTGGGAACGAGGTTGGTAGTTAAGCCGGTTGTATAAAAGTGTAGTTAGCCTTAACTGCAGTTAAAAAGTAGTTAAAGTTAACTATGCTTTAGGGTATAGAACTGTCCAAAACGTAGTTAAAAATGGCGTTTGTATAGGAGTGAACAACATTTTTCAATAAAACAACAATGAAAAGCAACGGTTACCTGAGATTTTCAATCGCTATCTTCCCTGTGAATGTTTCCTGACAATATAAACTCTTCAAACGCTATCGCTTTGGTGTTTTTACGAAAACAGAACATATTTTTGCACAGGACGATTTCTCGAAGACGAAGTATGGTCCATTACACCAAGAAACACTGATATATAATTGCCAAACAGCTATACCTTGGTTTAACGTAGGCATCTCAAGGAAAAACTGCATTCTTTTATGATTTTTGTGGCGGTTTTTCCTTGTTTTCTTGTATATTTTTCACTGTTTTCTAGTGTTTTGAATAAAATTTCCGCCTATTTGCAAAATACGAGTCCACAATCATGTTGAAAATGTCTGTCAGCGGTCGTTACTCGCTGCTTACTTTATGTTATTTTGTGTTTAAACGCCCCACGCAAGCCCCACGCACAGTTAACTACGTCTGTGACTACGTGATTAGTTAACTATCCGACTAACTACGTTTTGTGCAACGCAGTTAACTAATTACAGTTAAGGTGGTCTTATACATAGTATTTTCAAAAAATTCACTTTTTTGAAATATATAAATTTGGGGGCTCCATCATATGCACTTTCATGCTGGCATTATATTTTTGTCGTATCTGAGTTCCTTAGGGGTAAATTTTGCAATCAAAGTTGCCTAATATTGAAATTGGCCCATAGCAACCACCTTAGCAACCAAATGCTGTGGTTAAATCGATGTTATTGGCTCGTTATTGCTGACCAAAATAGTCTACATTTGTACCTGCTTACCCCTCCCATATTACTCTTGTATTTGAAGCCAGTATAACATATCTTAAATGAAGTACAATGTCTATTTTGTCTCGATGTTTTAAATGGAAGTTTTTCTTACAACGCCATCTTGAATTTGAAAGTTTCAGTGATTTTTTTGGTAACTAATTGTGGTTTACTTCTTTGAAAATGCCTAAGCAACGTTCTGGTTATTCAAAGAATCGTAAATTTAGTGGAAATCGGTTCAATGTAAACTCAGAAGTTTGAAAACGAGCGAAACATCCACCGCAAGTACGAGCGATCAAAATATGTGTTAGCCTGCGAACAGGCCCTGGGTTGCGGGCGGCGCGAAGAATAGAGGGCCTGCACGGATGATAGGTTTTCTTGGTAGTGGCGTTCGTATAGAAACGCAGGCTTCTGATTGGCTTACACTCGTTGACAAAATTACTAAAATTAGCAAATGTCAACAACAGCATTTTGAAGAATTTGAACTTTATTCATTTTAATATTATATATTATAAGACTATCGAACAAATAAAACTAGAAATGGAAACCAAAAGCAATAGCAAAGCATCACAGCAAAAAGTCTATCATAAATGACTTGAATCTATCGCTTAAATCCAATATACGAAACTATAACAGTATTCTGAACTTCGTCTTCGGATTGACATCAGACTATAGTATAGTACATTTTGAGGTCGTCGTGGCTTCACGGATTATTCTCATTAGTGAGCAAGTCAGCAAGCGAAGGTATACAAAAGATACCCAAATTTGTACGAATAATTATATTGTTGATCCTCGCTGGCATGTCATTTAGATATAAATATATATCGTACATTAAACGCTGTACTATTCAGGGGCGGATCTAGGATTTTTCGCACGTTAGTCAAAAATCTATGACGTCATCGATGACGCAAAACGTGATGACGTCATTTGCCATGACGTCATTCAATGTCACGATGATAGTCCAACTTTCGTGGGAGTATAGATATTTTATTTTATCAAACTACAAATGCGCAAATGATATAGTTTTCGTACCTGCCAATGTTCAGCATATATATGATAAAGTATTATATAGACTGTTTTGCCCTACAGTGTTGAGGCTGCAGGTTCGAGTCTCACTAAGTACCTTCTCAGTGCGACTCGAACCCAGTCCCCATGTGAAAAGAGTAAAAGTCAACGCTCTGCCGAAAGCCGTGGGTTTTCCCCGGGTACTCCGGTTTCCTCCCACAGGGAAAGTTGACAGGGTGGGTTAGGTAAAAAGGGCCCACAGTAATTGGCATATGCTGTTGTGGTGACCCTGCCCTAGTTGGCAAAGCTAAATAAATAAATAAATAAATAAAAAATACCTTGGTTCATCAGAATGCCTAGGAAACACATTAACCAAAAATAGTAAACCATGATCCAACAAGGACAGCTCCTTGAAAAAGCTGAACACAAGCACATGTTTCTGGCACCTTAAAACTAGATTGCTTGCCTTCACACCTTTTCAAGAGCAAAAGGAGTTTGGTTAGAACTTAGAAATGGGTGACAATGAAAACCACCTAAAATGAGCAATCTGGTTTTAAGGTGCCATAAACCCACCTCACACCTTTCACCATTGCAAAAGGAGCTTGGTTAAAAATGGGTGACAACATGTGAAATTGCCCAGTTTTTCCCTTTAGCCCCTTCCCCATTCCCCCTATTACTAACCTATGTCTAATCTAATTAAATTCATCATCTTGTTAATATATACTGTCCACTATGAAAATGTATAACATCACAAGTGAAATTGTGCCTCAAAGCTGCAGCTTCATTGGAAGCCAACTTTTATTGAAAACAAGTTTATTTTACCTGGCATTTTAATTAAACATATTTTAATCACAGTAGATTCAAATACAAAAGATTCATTACAAATGACTATTACTTTACTTGTCTAGTTATCTGAAATAATTGGCAAGGTTTTTAACACAGTATTCTGTTATTCTTACACTATGCTTACATACTGTATATAGACACATACTATCAACATGGTGTTTGTCTATCAGGGCCTGAAATAACATTCCCAAAATTCCCGATCATGGTGATTGATCATGGTGATTGGCAGTCATGTCTTTCCCTGCTTTTCAGGTTGAAAACCCTGCTTTTCCGCTGATCATAAGCAATTTCTTGCTGATTATTGATTGGTAATCAGTTGTTATTTCAAGCCCTGGTCTGTTGAAACATTTAACTGGTTCAAGATGCAATGGACCCATCTCAAGCCAATGAGATCAGCCCGATATTTGGCATCAGCTTTTGTCTACAAAGCCGGAATGTTTGGGGAGGGAAGAGATTATGGGAATTAAGGTGGTGATCTTGAAAGGCTAAGTTTGGTTGATGATGAAGGAAGTTTTTTCTCATGGCCCAGGAAGTTTTTTCTCATGTCAGTGTTGTGTACAAGAGTGAGGTTATTGTTATTGGAGGCGAGAGTTTTGCAAGCTGATATATTTAACTTTAATCTCATGCTCCAGAAAATTTATTAATAAAGTTTCCTACAGTATGTTAGGAATAATATCCTGGTGAATTTGCATCATGACCAAGCCAAGTCATTTAATTTAATTAGTCTTCAACCATAGTGCTTCTTTGCTTATACTGTATAAAAAGTGACCTACTGTATAGACCTTTCACACTTGCACTGTAAACATTTAAACTATCAAGGTCAAATTTATAGGTCATTGGTACCTGTCAATGCTTAGGAAACAGTGCTATACAGGCAATTGCCAGTTGCATTAGATCTAAAAATATAACCAAAGATTATATTATTATTATTATTATTATCTTCATAAAGTACATTTGTAGAGCTATTATCAGTCAATCAATACTCTATAAAGCATGTACACAATAAATATTTTTTATCCAACATGATCAAATATTTGAGATCAAGTTTCTGCCACTTGAAGTGTTTTAATTTTATACACATATATAAAATGAATATGTATGCAGTATATGAAACTTTGGACCTATAACCTCGCACAATTATGCAAATCGTACGTTCAATTCAACGATTTATTGTTCAAAATTCAAACCACTTTACCTTATTGCCATACACCTCTTCTTAGTAATCTCTTGAAAATATGTTAGACGACGAGAAATCAACACATCATAGTTTCGGCCAAGACAATTTTCTTGCATCCATCGAATTTATGAATTATCAGCTTGAAATATTCTCCACAGAACACCAGAGAGCATCCCTTATCGTAACAAATAACGATATAACCCTTTCGAAATCTTTATTTCGAAAATAGTTCAACAAATATACTAAGATTAAAGTGCTTATGAAACGAAATTTTTACCTAATTTTTTATTGCTGCGCTAAAAAGTACTGCTAGAGCGATGAAGAATGACGTTTACAGTTTCTTCATATCTTATCTCATTCTCAAGTTATCGCACTTTCTAAATTTTGAGTTGTGACGTCACTAGTTTGACTTGAGATGATGGCAATAACAAGAAAGTCTGATATCTTAGTGAGTATTTTATAAAATTCAATGAAACCCGGTACACTTAGTGGGTGCACCCATATAAATATTTTTTGGAAGGTCATGTGGTTGTCATGACAACACACTAGTCCCCAGTCTCTTCTCTACTTTTTCACAAATTTCCCCTGTAGACCTCTTGCAGGGGATGTTTGCATGTTATAACGGTTTAAACTGCTCATAATACCTACACGTATTATAATAATAAGCGACAATTGCAGAAATTACTATTTATTTCGTTGGAAATGGATCATAGAGAAATTGGAAGAGAAGGGATTGGGGACGAGTGTGTTGCAATAACAACCATATAAACAAGCCAAGTTGTTCACTTCGTTGCACCCACTAAGCATTCCAAGTTTCATTGAATTCTATTAAATTATCATCAAGATATCAGATTTTGTTGTTATTGCCACTATTTTGAGTCAAACTAGTGACGTCACAACTCAAAATAAAGAAAGTGCGATAATTTGCGAATGAGATGAGATACGCACAAAGTGTAAACGTCATTCGTCATCATTTAAGCAGTACCTTTTAATAAAACAATAAAAATGCAGGCAAAAATTTCGTTTCATAAGCACTTTAAGCGAAATAATTCGCTTGTAAAATTGTACAGAGCTGCAACAGAGCTACCAAGTGCACAATGCTTCCAAATTGAAGATTAGAAGGCCAATCAGAGGAGATATTCTTTAACTCTTTTGCCAAATTGTCCAATCAGAAGCTGCTATCTATTTGCAGGATTAGTCAAAATTGCGCAATCGTTAGTCAAAATAGGTCTGACCAATCAACATGCCTGTAATGTGTAATCTGAGCAAATTTGACCAATCAAATCACATGAACTAAAATGCAGAATAGTCAATTTTCATTTCAATACCGCTTATTTGACTTATCGTTTGACTAATCAATCGCTGGCTCAATGTGCAAAAACTGATCGAAGTTTATATGCTGGAGTGTGATGTAGTTTTGATTGCATGATCAGAAATGAACAGAAGCGTTTGCGCTGGGAAAAAATTCAAAAACCTTAGTCCAAATTTTTTTATTTTTACATTTGACAGCATCGGCAATAATCCCCTTGCCACTCCTCCCTGAGTATTTTTAAAACGCTAATTGAAAAGACTCCAGATTTTGGGGTGTCACGTGACCGCAGCGGGAGGGCGAGCGAAGTAAGAGCCTGGGTACGAGGTTGTGCTCAGTCCTCCCACGGGAAATACAATGACAAAATTAATGTGGTTCATGTTTATCTCTAGGAATAGTGGCATGGCATTTGTCAGCATCGCAAGCCGTATTGGCGCTGTATGTGCACCCTTTGTTGTCGAACTAAAGAGAATTCATCCAATACTACCATTTGGTTTGATGGGAGGTCTGGCTATTGCCGGTTCTTTGTGTTGTTTGGCCCTACCCGAGACAAGAGGAATGCCAACAGCGGATGTTTACGAAAACAATAATGGTAAAAATACATCAGATTGTTTTCTTTGCAGTTGCCAATAAACCATACACTATTTTCCTGTTTACGTCCGTTTAACGCATTACTGAGATCATTAAATAATATTATTCTTAAATCAGGATAAAACTCGAAAATTTGTCGTAAATACCTAGGCAAGCAGTTAGTTTCAGAAACATGATTATGTTTACAAGGCATTAATATAGGCATAAGGTGTGCGGAAATTATTAATACAGCAAAAAAATTTATTGTATTTGACTCCAAATATTTTTTATCACACTCGTGCCTTTATTTGAGGAGGTTCAGTATACAATTTCATTTTCACTCATTAATATTACGTTCGTTTAAAGTTACGCACAATTTTAATTGTCGGTTAAAACACAGCACGCGCACTGAAGCGTTTTATGCATGTTAGTGCACGAGAACGCTAGACCATCACATCACATCACCAGGACAAGCTAGTACGTATAATTCCAATATTTATTAATTATTAAGTTAACAGTATACGTAGTATAGCTAGGCCGTTTGCTGTGACCTCGAAGAGTGCCTAGTTCCCATATCTTGAAACTGAAATATTTAACACTTTCGAACACGCTGAGTTCAAATCCGAAAAGTTCTCGCTCTATAGACCCGCAGTTTTCTCACAAAATGCCATTTTGTCTTCACTCATTTCACAGCAAATTTTTTCATTGTTCAACGACACGGTTCGATGACGACAAACGATTGTGTCACTCAAAAGGACCAATTTCTATTAACTATTCTTCCTTTCAACCAAAGACCGGTTTTGCTCGAATCATTTTGAGTTATGTAATATTATGCGTGTTGGACGTAAATAACATATCTTGTCTATACAACTTTGAGAAAGTACAGATAATCAGTCCTTCTAATATCCATAGTTCTGGATCTATCTCTATAAAATCACATGGACGTTAATGTTAAGTCTGTGGGCTATGTCTCTGGGCTGAGAAATAATTCCTTACATGCGATCAAAATGTTTCATACAAAGATGTAAAACGGTAATCTATGATGTAATGGTCAGTATTTAAATTTCCAACACAGTTTCCGAGACGTAATTCAAGAGATAACTTATCATTGCATTTGAACTATTGCATCAGTTGGTGTTATACTATGCGATAAGCGAATATTATTGGAAAGAGGGCTTCCATATACGTTGAAATCACTAAGTAAACAGCTCATGTACACATTTCTCCACTTCGTCGTAAGTTTACAGAGCATATTTTATACTTTGGAACTGATCTTTTTCTTTGATGTGACCATTTATTCTTATAGTTTAAGGTTATTTAAGATATTGATCCTGTCGTAAGTGTTCGACCAGCAACCAATCGACAATATTTCATTTTAGCGTTGTCTTCGCGTTACTTTTGTTTTAAATACCTTGATCGCGTTAAAAGAGTTATTTTTCAGGCCAGTGACATAGCCAAAAGACTTCGCATTAACGTCGTTGTGTTTTTATTAGGATAGAGCCAGAACTAAGATTCTAGAAAGCTTTATCTGTACCTTCTCAAAGTTGTAGACAAGATATGTTGTTTGCGTCCAACATGCATAATATTACATAACTCAAAATGATTCGAGCAAAACCGGTCTTTTGTTAAAAGGAAGACTGGTTAATAGAAATTGGTCCTTTTGAATGACATAATCGTCGATCCGTGTCGATAAAATTGCAGTTTGTGAGAAAACTGTAGGTCTACGGAGCGAGAACTTTCAGATTTGAACTCAGCGTGTTCGAAAATGTTAGTTCCCGTAAAACTATTTCAGTTCCAATTAAGACATAGGAAATGACAGTGAACGATATCGGGACGCAGCAAACTGCCTAAGCATATGAAAGTATTAATTACAGTCGTGGACATATAAATAGGAGCGGAAATATAATGAAAGTGAAGTTACTGTAGTTTCATAAATAGTTAATGTGTATCTTTATATATTTTATGTTTATTTTAAGATGCATCTGAACTGATGGTTTTGGAAAAATACCCTAATGATGAAATCAATGAAGGATCTGCTTACGACAGCATATAGTAGTAGCACATGCTTAACTGAAGTACAGGGCCCCTTTTAGTTACCTTTGTTCTATTCTGTAAACTAGAACAAGTTGTGAGCTTGCTTGAAGTTGTAAAACGGGTATAAACTGTTTATTAAACAAACGTTTGCCAGATTTGCCTGTTAGAGACTTTTGCAGTCAGGGCGTTACAATGCCAAAACAAGTAGTTGATAACGGCCTGATTCCACGATCGCGAACGCTGATTTTCGGTACGGTAAAAATTTTGCTGCGGAAATGAATTTCTATACATGCAATACAAAATACATTTATTTTCGAAATTGGAAAAGCTTAGTTCACTATAGCAGGATGCGAAAAAATGACGTAATTAGCCTTTCTCACGATGACGAATATCCGGCTGAAAATCCGGCTGAAAAGCCACCCAAAAATGGCGGCGTGAGAGAGGCTAATTCAATGCAATCCTTTCACATCAGTAAAACTACGAATGCAAAAATTAGCCACATCATTAAATATTGGTGCCAATCTTCTCTGCAGAGCATTATTAACGTCGAAAGACGTGAAATGAAAAAAAACAACTGGGAACCGAGTGTCACATGATCCTTAATTAATTCAAATCCCCATGCAGATATGGTGGGTGTAACAACAGAAGTCTTGTTATAATTAGAGATATAACTCCTTGAAAGACACGAAAAGAACTTCATCTGAAAGTTAGCATGGCTTGACTTGTAACTTCTATGTGTTACAATTGCAAAAGACTTCTGTTTGTAGCCATCACTGCCTACGACCGTTGGGTGAAACAAACTATAATCTTAGAAATATGCTAAATATTTTCCAAAATGATCAACAAGTCGAGTCGGATCTCTGAGCTGTCGAGAGTGTCGAAGCTGGGGGTGAACAAGCTTTATGTATTTATAGGCGACTGAAAATTGCTTTTGAACTTGGAAATTTTGCTCAGTGTCTGCGTGAAACACCAGAAGTTTTAACTTCCTTAAGTATTTAAAAATACTTCGACCATATGTTAAAATTAAGGCGATAATATTGCATGTAGCTGTACGTTTCACTCTTATAAACTCACATCAATATTTTGTTGGCATCTCACTGATTGAATAATTGAATGGTATTGTAGATGGTAATTTATTAGACTTAACCAGGAGCAGCTGTGAAAAATGCAACTTTAGTCCCTTGCAGGAATCACGGTTAATAGAAATGGGATGGATAGGCTAGCTGGACCACGTCACAAATATGTTATTGTCCCCTCTTTATTAACGTCACGTGACGAGATAAGGGGGCGCTTGTTATGGAAAGTGTTAACAGATATATTGTTGACGTTGTGTGCGTATCAAATATCTTCGATTTTTCGACATTGTTTGACCTAAATTACAAACTTCACCGGTAATATATTGTAGCCATGCCTTAAAAAGATAGTTTTGAGGTATGGTCGGTCAAAATTGCGCGTTGTATGGCTGTTCAACTAGCAGAACACACGAAGGGCGTTCGCTATTTAAGATACCAGTTGTTGGCGCTGCAGACGGGGAAGAAACGACAGCATTAAAGAGATTAACAGCCCGTGAAGAATGGCTTCGTCTGCTGTTGAGAACAAGACAAGTCACAGCTGATTTGAAAAAACGAATTGAGGCGAACAACATCTTTTTTTGCGACCTTCATTTTAAGCCCGAATGTATCATTTCGCGTAAGTAATTATAATATTATTCGTTTGCGTTTTAGTCTAAGCATTATGTATTATTCTGCTCGTCATGGGTCACTGCTCTGCTCGCATATGTGCACTGATACGTGTCATTGATTGTAAATGATAATGTAGAGTTGTTTTATTTTTAAGATCCCAAAAGAAAGGTTCTTGCCACTGGTAGCGTTCCTACGGAGAACTTGCCAACAAAGAGTCACGAGGGTGAGACTAAAAAGCGTCGCGTTTTAGTGAGATCTTCGACTGATGACGAGCCTAGCACATCAAAAGGCACATCAACCAGTCTAAAGAAAGGTTCACTCTCGCTGGAAAAGTTCTGGAAACGTATGCAAAAAGACGAAGTTCTTGGCAGTTGGAAAGTAGAACATGAAACGAATGAATGCGAGCTCAGGCTAGAACTACTCGATGGCTGTCACATAATTCCAAAGTATACCATAATTATAGACTCTGGTTTTACGTTTACGCTTTTTGTATATAATTGGCCTATCCCCGATGAACACGCGATATACCAAGAACGAGCTCGATCTGTG